GACTTGAAGTATACCTGGAGTCTTTCAGCTAGCGCATGTTCTCTTTGCATGCTTTCTGTGAGCTGCTGCTCCAACATCTTCACACGGTCGCTGAGGCCTTGGGTGCTTGTGGCCACACCTTGTACAGCACCAGCAAGAATCTCAGTTCGACCTTTGACTTGGGAAGCTATCTCACGGATAGCGGCTGACATCTCTACCCCTTCGTCCACCATCATTGGTTCAGAAGCTGCATTCGCAAGGTGTGCTAGCTGCTGTAGCAACTCAGGAGCCACTGTAACTTCTGACATCTCCACCCTTCGCAAGTGCATTGGAAAAGGTGGGACTGGAGGTAAGCCCGAAGTGGCAGAGCCAGGGTTTGGGCTCATAACCTGATAATCGGGAGTATCAGGAACAGGAGAGAAATGAGTTGGAGCAGGAAGATTGGCATGGTGCAATCGCAATGCTTCTCTCGGAAAATCACTTGGTTGATCAATCGGCATTTCTTGATTTGTGCGTGTCCGCTTCTGCTTCAATTCTCTGTTTCTTTCTCCTTTTCCTTCTCCTTTTCTATTCACTCAAACTTCTATCAAAATCAAATCGGCCGTTCTTGCTCTCAAAATGTCTTCGCTTACACTTCTCGATTTGTCACTTCTCGATTTGTGCAGCTCAGTACAAAGCAAATGACATGGGAATGCAAAATGCACAGCAAAATGCAACGCGCCCTTTTTTCACGCGTCTTGAGCCACAATCAATGGCACGGTTGAAGTCATGACCAAACGTCAGGCTTTGAAGAAACTGTTTGAACGATGAACCTGACAGGCAAGAGGCAAAACAGAGACACACAGAACATAAACAAGAGCAAGCCGGAGCAACCCGAGGGAGGCACGATGAGTCGATGAGTTCACAGGTTTGACTCGATGAAACGAAAGTGTCGGCAGATGCCGAAGCCAGCAGAGTCGCCCTCGCATGTTTAGCACGGCCGATGATTGGCTGGTCTGCTTTCAAAAGGCCAATGCTCAATAGGACTACAGTGACTACAGGATACCTCCTTCCCAGGAAGTGCAATTGTGCGGACGATCTTCTGATTTGCACTATCCAAAGCTCAATTGCTTTCATGGATGTCAAAACTCCCCCAAGTTGCGCAATCATCATTGGCCAGTGGATTGGCCTTGTCGAGTCGAGAGTCTGGGAGGGGCAGTTGCAGAGTTCTTGCACAAGTCTTTGCATGCAAAGGCCCAAGTTTTCTGGCGGCAGATCTTTTCTGGTTGGGATGATTGGGTGCCTTGACTGCACATTTCAGTGTTTTCATGTGTCTTCTGAACCCAGAAGCGGCCACAAGACTCTGTGGCATTCGTTTGCAACTGAATGCGGTCCACATGCCAGGTGAATCGATTGCGCGCAGCTATGATGAGGTTTCAAGGGCCGGAAGGGTCTGGCATCGAGGGTTTGGATGTTCGGCTGCAAAAAGTGTTCGGATGAGATGATTGAGATGATGAGCCTATTAAATTAGCAAAGCAGACCAGAGATTTGGCGAGAGGCAAACGGAAACATAGAAACCTCGTTTGGGCCCTCCAGCCTCGCATGCAGTCAATCAGCTGAACTTGCATGAGGTCAAAAGCCATGTTCAACGTGTGTCCGTGAAAGCTGGTGCGTTGGTGTACGGGGACCTCGAAATCCTTGGAGCGTGGCCTGACTTTTGAGCGTAGCTGGGTGACTGGGAAACCTTGCAGTCGCAGGGAAGCAATGTTATTTTTACAGATTTCAATATGTTCCTGCTGAACTTATTGAACTTTGTTTTTTTTGCACGTTTTCTTGTGAAACTCTTGAAGGTGGATCAGATCACTTACAGTACCTGGGGCCTCTACCAACAAACATTCCCATTTGGCGGTATCAGAGTTGGCCACTCCGACATGCCTGTTGCATGCTTGTCGTGGTTTTGATGTTTCAACCAATGGCTGGGCAAAGTTTATTCACTAATTAGATAGCACTTAGTAACAAGGGCATCGCTACTAGTAACAAGGGTCAAGGGCATTACTACTATTAAGCTACTAGTAACAAGGGCATCGCTACTAGTAACAAGGGCATTACTACAAGTGAGTAGAAGCTACTCGTAACAAGGGCATTACTACTAGTAGCTAGAAGCTACTAGTAACAAGGCCATAGCTACTCGTAACACGGGCATACTACTAGTAGCTAGAACCTACTAGTAACAAGGGCATCGCTACTCGTAACAAGGGCA